GCTCCGCCAGCAATGTCTCCACGTCATCCTCGTCGTCATCGTCTACGTCATCGCTGACAGCAGCAAAAGCAGCTTCTCTCTCCTCCATCCTCAGCGCAAAGCTCCGTAAATCGTGCAAGTCACCATCTCCTTCACTCACCTGCCTCAGGCTGGACACCGAAAGCTCACATATTGGTGTCTGGCAGAAACGGGCCGGGCCGAGATCCGAGTCCAGCTGGGTCATGACCGTCCAGCTCAGCACCAACAACAACAACAATAATAATAATGCTAATCAGAGTACTCCGGCAGTTGTGGCGGCCGGAGAACTAGAAAAGCCGCCGGAGGTGGCGGTGAAAGAAGGGATTGACGAGGAAGAAAGGATTGCGTTGCAGATGATTGAGGAGCTTCTCAACAGGAACTGATTCATTAGTCAAATCAATCAAGAATTATTTTATGTGGTAATAAAATATATACATATATATATGCAATTATTTTCATTTTTCTTATATTTTATTTTATGGTACTATTAGGTTTCGTATTTTTTTCGTATTATGTGAAACGTTTGGGGTTTATTGTGATCTCGATTTAGATAAAAAATAAAATAAAATAAGTGGTAATTTTTTTTTTTTTGGTACAAAAAATAAGGGGTATTTAGCGACGAGAGAGGTCAACTGTCTATATTGTGTGGTATAAACAAATGTATGTTGTTCGAGAAATCTGGTATTGTGAAAATGCTATGTATGTGATTTTGATATAAAGGGATATGTTTGTTATATATATCTATATATTTTTGTATTTATGATGGAATATAAATGTTTTCTGTTATAAATGGGCTCCATTTTGTGTTGCTTGTTGGGATGAAAGGGTCAGTCACTTCTTTTGCTTTTTGTTACTTTGATAGAATCACAAAGACGTTGCCCATAGAATTGCATAAGAATTAATTGTTATTATTCTTTTTGTCCAAAAGTTGATTAATAATGTGAAGAGCCGTGTATGCCTATAACTGTGAATTATTTCAAGGACAACAGAGGAAGTGCATGACAAGCAAATGATCAATTTTGTAACAATGACGTAAGTCTAAATGCACGCAACATAGTAAGGTTTCATCCCAAACCACACACGTGAAGTGCACCTTACCATGGTGAGCCTAGATTTGGGTTGCAAACAAGTCGAGCGGCTCGCGAGCTGCTCGGGAGCGCTCGAGTCAAAGCTCGACTCGAGCTCGAGTTTGACCGAACTCGAGTCAGGTTCGAGCACGAACTCGAGTCGAGCTCGATCTTATATTTTACCTTGTCGATCGGCTCGTCGAGCGGCTCGAGATACACTAAATTACTTAATATCCCTTATTATATATATACTTTAGCATAGGTGCTTGATGGTAATTTTACCTTCCACTTAAAAAATTTCGAGCCGAACTCGAGCATTTTGATTTCGAGTCGAGCTCGAGCTCGTATTGTAATTTGTTACCGAGTCATGCTCGAGCCTAAAAAATCGAGCTCGACGAGCTCGAGCAGCTAAAAAAATAACTCAATCCTGCTCGATAAGGCTAATACTCGACTCGGCTCGGCTCGTTTGCAACCCTAGCCTAGATGCACCATAGTCACAAGTGTGCTCTAGTATGCCCCCTCACTTGTGATGTGAGTCCTTCATACGAGGCCTAAGCCCAACTGGGCTGAGTGACGATGGGTACATCATATATCTCACGGTCCCACGTAGAACTGGTTCCTTCATACGAGGCCCAAGCTCAACTGGGCTGGGTGATGGGTAGGTCATCGCACGGTCCCATGTAGAACCGACTCTGATACCATGTAAGAATCGGAAAAAACGAGTGCAGTCTCACGCAAATGAAGCGCATCATATCAGGGTGAGCCTATATGTAAAATAGTGAGGTTTCATCCCAAAATCAATTGGTTGATGTGAGGAGTACGTAGCCCACTAGGCTCAATTATAAATTAGACACATTTTTCTTGTATAAATGATGTGTAACAACTCACAAGTGTATTCTAGTACGCTTCCTCACTTGTGACTTGTGAGTCTTATGAGGCTCAAACCCAACTCAACTGGAGACATGCTAGGAAAGCAAAAAAGAAGAGGAAGAAATTAGTGAGGAAAATTATACGACCTAACAATATGCCGCGAACAACTTATTTATTGAACTATCAATTATACAGCTAATAATTGGGTAACAATAAATTATTATCTTTTCCTAAAAAATTAACATCATTTTTGGCATGAATCAGGCAGCATTTTCCCATGTTCATTCAAGCAATGCTTTAATTATTGTAGATTCAATCAAATTACGAATATTTATATTTTTTAGAACTTAAAAGTACTATCTGGCTAGCTAAGCTAGCTACGTGGTTCCATTAAAAATGTCTCTGAATTATTATAAAAAAAAAAAATGCACTTTATTGTCACTAAAATTGAATAATTGGATAAGCCTCCAACATTTATGAATGACACTAAAAAATACTAGTACTTATAGTTACTTTGATAATGGTTGTAAAAGTTGTTCGCGCTCATCAAGCGGCAAGGTGGGCCTAGTGTAGGTCATCTAGGCAGAATTAGACGTGACCACCCAGCCCGGTTCGGACTCGGTCTAGTCAAGTCCGTTGATTACGGATTTGGCCCGACTCGAATTATAATCGGGCCGGTCCAGGGCCTTGTTTAATTTTTTAGACTTGGGCCCGGCTGGTCCGGCCCGTGCCCGTTCAGGGACGACGACACCCAGCCCATCGGCCCGCTATGCCGGGCCAGGCCTGGCCACAGGCTGTGTGTTGGCCATATCTAGGCAGAATTGTAAAAATTTACTAAATCTACCATCACATATAATTTGTAAAAAATATTATTATACAAATTCAATACATCCATAACTATTGTATTAATATTGATATGATTATTATTTTTATTATTTAATTAATATAAATTCCACACATAATGGTAATATCATTTTATTTATTAAAAAACGAATTTCATCTAGTAAAAAAAAATGGCGCCCGTCTAGGCCTCCTAGCCAGCCCAATTAACGTGAATTTAGGATCATGCGGCTAGTTCGTCCAGTTAAAGCTGCAAACGAATCGAGCAGTTCGTGAGCGCTCGAGTCAAAGCTCGACTCGAACTCGAGTTTGACCGAACTCGAGTCGAGCTCGAGTCCATATTTTGTCTTGTCGAACAGCTCGGGATACATGTTAAATTACAAAAATACCCCTTATATATATGTTAGCATGAGTCCTTAATGCTAATTTTACTTTTCCATTTAACAATTTTCAAGCCGAACTCGAGCATTTTGATTTCAAGTCGAGCTCGAGCTATGTCGGCTCAAGCTACCTCTCCTTTCAGTCGAGACTCACAAGCCCGGAAGGGACTTCACGAAGAAGGCATCAAAGACCCCGCAGACTACTAACTCATTGGGGAACTCTAAAGTGATGCGGTTGAAAAATTCTCTGTATGTGAAAAGCATTGGCATTCTAATACTTCTTGTAATTTTTTATCGAGACGAGCTTGTGCCTAAAAAATCGAGCTCGACGAGCTCGAGCTCGAGCAGCTTAAAAAAAAAAGTCAATCATACTCGATGAGGCTAATGTTCAACTCGGCTCGGTTCATTTGTAGCCTACATCCAGTCCCTTAGACCATATATTTGTTTCATAGTGGACAAACAATAAACGGTACGATTAATCTATTCTTCAGCTATGACGTTATTCACCAAACTCAACAACTTATCCAAATAATTAATCCTATTAGTAATTTAATTAATTATTGTCAGAACATTGAATAAAAGATAAATAATTATTAGGATACAACCACACAAAATAGGAAATAACATTGTATAAACCACATAATTTTATTATTATTTTTTTATTTTTCTTCTAAGTTACATGACTGAATTTAAAATTTTAAATCCAAATAATATTCTTTTCATCACTACCCTACCAGTTAGGGCATCTCCAATGGTAATAGTTATTACTAGCTATATGGTTAGCTAACGTGGATGTGAGAGATAAGAAAAATAACTATTTTAAACTATTGGACCCACATACTCCTCTCACATAATCTTGGGCTACGTGAAATAGATAAGCTATTTGTTAGTAGCTAGTGACTACTCTCTCTCTTACTTTTCTCCTGTCCACGTCATAATAGTTAGCCAAATAGCCAACCATTGGAGACACCCTTAGCACTGTACCATTTTTTTTTTACAATAATTGATCAATAAATAGAAGTTTCCAAAAATGTCTTCTTAAAAAAAAAAGTTTGTTCTAAAGCTACTCTCTTGTGTGCAAAATATGAATTTTAACAATGGAACTGGCAATTTCTGCAAACATTGGTACTTGGAGCTTTTTAGTTATTGGAAAGTTCCTGATTTGGGCATAAAACCCATGTGGCATAAGGTTTATCAGGTTCAAAGGCTACACATTTTCATATTATTTCACAAAATTGTTCATAAAGTGCATATGAAATTAATATTGAAAAAAAAAAAAATGGGTGATCCCTATAGGATTATGTTTTTTTGTCCTAGATATATATGTGCATATAATTCAATGTAATGGAGTTCATTTCTCCCTTTCATTTTTGTTCTTACCATGATTGTCTGTGATGGTTTATAGGTTTCTTATAGACGTGGCCAATTGCCGGGCCGTGGCCCGGCGGGCTACAATCTCATGGCCCCCGTGGCCGGCCCGTCCATCCGAACCGAACCTCCGGTTCATTGGCTGGTATGGCCCTTAAAAAAAAAAACTAACTTGTGGTCAGCCGTGCGACCCGCGGCCCAACCCAGCCCGGTCCGGACCGGCGAGACCAAAAGAGAAAATATTGAACCGGGATCGAACCGCGACCCTAATTTCCGGTTCAACGGGCCAGCCTTTATGAGGCCGGTTCTCCTGTGGACATGTCTAGTTTCTTTGTTAATGCCATTTTCACATGTGGTGGTTAGTAGGAATTTATTTTATCTTTACAGCTCTAATTATAATTCAGCCATGCTAATAATTGTGTCTGGATTATATTTGTTTTCTTCATTAATAATGTGGATTATATCAAAACGAGTTACATCTACCATTTAGAAAAAATAAATAAATAAATAAAATGAGTTGCAATATCATTTGGTAGTAGATAATAAAGTTATAATTGATTCTCTCATAAATTGAATTGGAACCCGAACAGCAGTTGATTAATCAATATGCATGCTCACATTTTTTGCAATTATGTACCTCTTGGTGATCAAATTATCAAAGCATCATATTTTTTCAATAACCATGTATTTACTTGCACTAAATGTTACACATACAATGAATATATAAACAATTATAAAAATTAAAAAATAAAAAGATGGAAAGAGGCCCCAAGAAGCCCATATAGTTACAACTTGCAACAAATTCAACTTTTCAATTATAAGTCCAGGCAGGAATTTAAGATAACCCCAAGAGGCCCATATAGTTCAACTTTGCTGCATCATTTGCTTTCTTAAATCTCCAAGAGGCCGGTAACTTACTTCCTTCACATCCTCCTCCTTACACGAACACTTTCTGATATTTAGGTTAGCACCACAATTTAGGCAGAGTCCTTTGCAGCCAGGATCACAGACTGCATTAAAGTTGATCTCCAAGTGTATGAGGTCCCTTATGTTTTTCGAGATGTCGATTGTTTTCTCACCAACAGGAAAATATAGCTGATCGTCTATGTCAATCGACGCATCTTCATTCTCCTCATTTTCCTCCATTCCAAAACTCTTCAATTTGTCGTCTCCAAAGATGACACCCATGTTTATAGCGTCGTCTTCTGGGATTGGTTGCTCGCACAACAAAAGCGAGAAATCCAAGTACAAGCTCTGGGCAGCTGGCTCCCCACACCTTTTGGCAATGGGAAAGTAAACAAACTAAGTAGAATTAAAGCTCGTGAATGAAAAACACAAGGGTGGAAAACTATTGCGACTCATTATTAAAAGATCTCTTTAACCTCTCAATTGACTACAATTCCATTGTCACATACTTACATATGAAGAAAAACAAGAACGGGTTCCTTCTGAAAGTAGAAAGCAAAACATCTAATTATAGAAAAGACTACTAAATTATTCAGCAACATGCTAGATAAAGCAGCATTTCATTGTAGTAATGGTGTATTAGGTATAAAATCAGGCTGTTTATATAATTGGCGTATATAATTTAATTTCAATGCTTGAGCCGGTTATCAAAAGTCATGCTCCTCTTCTCAACCAACTTTGGATTTTTTTCACCATTACATGACAATTGAACCACAGTTATACTCTATCTTCTACCACCAAATTTCTCAAGTGTTTCCACTTTTTCAGGTCCCATGTTTGCTTGCTTTACAACTTCTGAGTGAATCATGTGTTATATGACCAAGGTAGAGGCAAATGGATATTAATTCCTACAATAACCAACTAAAACTGGAAAAATACTAAAAAAAACCCAAGTCTAATCTTTAGATGGTAGGCAATTTACGAATTAGAAAAAATCAAATCTTGGCCGAGAATAGAGTTAGATCATTTTCTCATTTTGATGGTTTTGCGATTCAAAAGCCTTTCTAATTCGATTCTAGGTGTTCCGCCACCAATTTGCAAATCAACAAATTACACTGTATCAAGTGGATTTCTACTACAATTTTCATCTTGTTAGTTAAATCAATCAACTTTACCATACCAATTTGCCATTGGGACAGAACCTCAAACCCGGAAATAGACTAACATTTAACTCTACTATACTAATCTGCTCAAGGTACAGAACCTCAAAACCAACATAAGTAGCAACAACAGTTTAAACACACTACTGCTAAGCTTGATACACCACGTCTCGACTCCCATGTCATTTCTTGCACTAGTCAGTTAACTACAAAGAGCATATGATTATGTTGCAACTCAAAAATCAAAACCCACACACAAACATCAATAGCTTAACAGAACTACAGCAAGTTTACATTCACCGGTCCATATAAAGAAACTAATCACAACAGCACATAAAGCAACTCTGAATGTCACAGCAACAGCAGAAACACAAAATAAACAAGAAAAAGAACAGAAAAAAATGAAATACACAGATATACACTACCTGTTGCATTTAAGAGCAATGACAGTCCTAACAATTCCGTCCAGCCGCAGCTTCTGCTTCCTCCTCGTAACACCCACAGAGATCAAAACCGGCGTCCCGTCCGGAGAGTCCCTCACGGGCCTAACCACTCGCAGGCCCATCTCTGAGGCCCGATTCCTCGACAGATCCGACGAGACCTTCCACAACCCTAATCTCTCGAGAGTCGTGCAGTACTCCAAATGCAGTACAGCGGCGTTCCTCTTGTACACAATCGCGCCTTCCCAGGGGCAGCCCTCGTCGCCGCCGCCGTTGTCTTCCCCAATTTCTGAGTCCCGAAATTCCCACTCATCCTCGGAGGTACTTTCGGAGCTGGTGGCGGCGAATCGGAGAGATCTATTCCTGGTGAGGTTTTTCGTGAGGGTTAGATTTGACAGGACAAATGGTTTTCTGTGTATTGCGGGTGGCGGGTGATTTGATTTGAGGGGGTTGTGAAGCTTGACGGTGGGAAGGACAGGGGTGGTGGAGGCGGTGGCGATAGGGCGGAGCATTTTGGCTGTCGAGGCGAATAAGAGCCGTGGTGTGGGTGTGGGCCGGCCGGCGGAAGAGTCTCATACAGATAAATTTTTTATTTTTATTTGTACATATCTAATTTCACATAAAATAAAATTAAAAAAAAAAATATTATTTTTTAAATAATAACAAAATTTCTTTTACTTTTTTCTCTATAAATTGCACCGATCAAATTAATAAATAAAATTTTTATTATTTTTTAAATACTATTTACATCCACACATTTATAATACTAATCTTAATTCTTAATTAGTATTTGAATGTTTTTATTTTACATTAATTTTAAAATTATACTTTTATTTCTAATACATCTATAATTTTCAATTTATCTGTTTTTTTTAAAATAAAATTTTTGATATTTTTGTTGGAAAATGTGATGAAAAAGTAGAAAGGTTTAATTAAAAAAAATCAGTTAAACTTGAGACAATAAATCCTCCGCCACTTAGGGTGCTTCTGAATCCTACTTAGCAAATAATTATGCTTCGTAATTAGGCTTAGATAAATTTTAATATACTTTCAATCAAAAAATAATTAGGTTCGGATTATCCATAAATATGTTGACTATTTATGGTTATGTTACATGTATTAATTGTATTTTAATATCATTTCTTATTATAAGAATTGAATTATTAATATATTCTAAAAGTTAATAACTTTTGTATTTTTAATCAGTTTTACATATATAATATATCAAATTAATCGTCTTTTGATGAGTTTCGATTTAGCATCCATATTGTATGTATAAAAAAAATAAATTATATTTATCGTTATAATCATAATAAGATTGTTTTTAATATTAATTAGAAAAATAAAATTATTTATCAAATAATATATTTGTATTCAAGTATTTATATGATATAAGTTATTAAAATTGTTATAATATAGCACATGTAAGTCGCACAAGTAACAAGTGTCATTTTAAAATATATAATAGTATATATTATTTTAAATGAAATTTAAAATATTATTTCTCATTAATTTTAAAATTTAATAATAATTTTTAACAAGCACCCGTGTAATACACGGGAATTTGTACTAGTGTATATAAAATAAATATATAATGATCAAAATTCATGTAAGATTAAAAATAACAAAATATTAATAGACAATGTTTGTTAGTTAAAAATATATATGAAATGAATAATGTTTATTATGGTAAAATATATTTTCATAGTAAATTTTTATTTTTTGGTTTAATAAAATTTAAAATAAAAAATATATTAAAATAAATAATAATTAAAATAAAATTTATTTTTGTTTCAACTATAAAGTCTTGAATGTGAATATAATATATACAGTTTATAGCTTATCGTATGAGTACTACTTTCTTTTTTTTTTTTTCTTTTTTTCCTAAAATGAAGATTAATAGTCTTCACAATTTTCTTCCTCAGTGACTAGAACCTATAATTTATAAATCATACGTGAAGAGTTTTACACTAAGCTGCGATTCTTGGTCCGAGCACGAGTGTAATACCAAGCTTTTTAGGGTGTAATTGTTGATGGATTCAACTAGTTAAAATCAGTGGATGAATGAGGAATTAAAGTTGGTGTGATATGTAAAAATGATTGGTTGATATTATTTAATTATATTGATAATATTACGAATAGTGTGATTAAATTCAAGTTGAATTAAATTTAAATTTTGATTGTTTTTTTTAGTTAAAAACAATAAACAAACACCCCTTATAAACTATATTCAATTTGCAAAGACAACTCTATAATCTCTATTGACTAGACATGGCCACGGGCCAAGTCGGCTCGTGGTCCTGGTCCCAACCTGGCTCGCAATTGGCTCATAAGTTGTCGGTTCCGAGAATCGACATTGTGGCTTAACGGATTTGGTTTTTCTATTCCCATTGGGATTAGGCCAGGTTCACGAGCTCGGCCCTTATTTTTTGGCTGGTCGGTCTATGGTCACTAATGGGAGGCAGGGTCACCAATGGGAGGCCTACCGGCCCGGCTCGTTGACTAGCCATCTCTACTATTTGACATAATGAAGCAAGCCGATACGAAGAAAGGAAAATGGTAAGTCCACGTCGTGACTGAAGACGTAACGTGGCACGTTCCCAAATCGACGACACCACCAGAAACAAAAGGCAACACAACTTCTCCTCCTCATCCTCAAAATCATTATAAAATTTTAATTATTATACACCACCACTATTTTAGGTCCCTTATTACATCTGGAACCTCGTAGAGAAACAAACAGGGTTTAATAAGGTCAGCTTTTTTGTTGAAAATGGCGAGAACCCTTTTTTACCTCCTCTTCATTCTCGCTTTCACCGTCTCTTGTTCGCAATCGAGATCGATAATCCCACGCTCACGCCCTCACTCGCTATCCAACCTTAAATTTAACACAACCGAGGTCTGATATTGTCTGCCTTTCTACAAATTTTGTCAGAATTTTTACCTCTTTTTGGTTGAAAATTATGATTTTTGTTTTTTGTTTTTTGCAGAATGCTGGAACATGTTCGTTTACGGTGGTCATAAGGACAAGCTGCTCGTCCACTCGATACACGCGGGACCGTATTAGTCTTTCCTTTGGCGACGCCTATGGAAATCAGGTTTTTTCTTATTTTTACTGCTAAAATAGTTGCTCTCAGTTGCAATTTAGGGCTTTTGGTTTTTTGTGATTACTCATATCTTCGATTGTTTTGTTATCCATTTTTTACCCAAATATTAATTTATATATATAAAAAAAAAAATAAAAAAATCCCCTGTGAACATCAATCCTCTGGTTTTCTGCTGTGATTTATGGGGAGTTCTGAATCATGGACTCTCGTATTTTATAGAAAAAGCAGTTGTAAGGTTGGGGACGAAGAAAAGACCCATCAGTGACCATCTGTGATGAGGTGCCTAATCATATCACACATCCCTCCCTATATATTAATTCAAAACGTGTTGAGCCTATGTGGCAGATTCTCACGTTTCGGATGCGGACATGGCGAAAATCTATGTTTCGTGATGTTGTTTTTATATTATTTTTGCACTGGAGTTAGGTTTGGTATTAGATATAAATAACTTTACACATTGATACATGAGTATTAGTACTAGTAGTTTTTACAACTAAGCCAATTATCTAGATCAAGTAATGACTATTGAAATCGATGTGTGTCTTAGAGTGTTGCATTATGTTTGAAATTTCAAAAGATATATAAACAAAAACAAGGTTCTGAAAATATTTGGAGAGATCATGGTATATATAATAAGAAAATTATGTTAATGCATTGTTTCAGACCAGCCATTTCCAGTATATATGATTAAATACTAAAATGCTTCCTACGACTTAAGTTCCACTTAAATTACGTGGAACAGATGCCATATTCCATATCCAAATCCAAGCAGAATTGATGTTTACTTCTGTTGTAAGTCTTACAAAAATGAAAATAACGACTAGCACTCTGTACGTTGAATAACCAAAATGGAACTATTGTGCTCCAAAAAACATCCCGAAAATCCTCTCACACAAGGTTGTTGATTTTGGCGAAGTGGCCTTTGACTCGTGATTGTATACAGGTGTACGCACCAAGACTGGACGATCCAAGTTCAAGAACATTCGAGCAGTGTTCGTCTGACACGTTTCAATTATACGGGCCGTGTACATACCAGATTTGCTATTTGTACCTGTACAGAAGTGGATATGACGGGTGGATACCGTATGATGTGACAGTCTATGGGTATAACTCTAACCCCGTCTCTTTCTACTACAATATAAGGTTACCTGGAGATACGTGGTATGGATTCAATCAATGTTACAGAACTACAGCTGCTTCAATAGCTACCGTGTAAGGTGGCTTTTTTGGTGCATTTCAAATAATGGGAGTAAGTTCTTTATGCATTTGCTCGTCCAGACCAAGTGTGTGTATTTGATTTGTGAAATATATGACACTTTTGAATAGTTGGAGTGAGTTCTATGCGTTCCAAACTGAACTCTCTGTATTTGATTTGTGATTCTGTTAATTTTATGCTGTCCTTGTTTCATCTCAAGTCTTTTTCGAAAAAAAAAAAATGAAGTGCTGCTATTTCTTGTTTGGATTATGAACAAGTTGAGACCAAAGAAGGCTTGGATGACTTATCATTTCAATTGGCAAGCACAAGCAAGAGCATAAAAGCTACATGCAGTGTTTGGTGTTACAAATACTTTCTAACAGTTATCTTTTTAGAATTACAAAAACTTCATTGAGGCTGTAGAAATGTAGTTGTTTACACACACACACACGCACACACACACACACACACTCACTGACTCAAGGGAATGGTCTTTGCACTCTCCCCTCTGCACAAACTTTTGAATCTCGCCGGAAACTCCACAAAACACAGCCGGGTTTCTAACCTGCATGACCTTGACCTTGACCTTCACCTCCATGAAATGAGACTACATCTAGTTGATGGGCACATCTATATTTATTTATTTATTACTATGAAAGAAGGAATTATTTTGTAAAGAATTGCATGGACTATTAATATCCTTAGGCCATCTCCAGCAGTGCACTAGAAGATGGAATTGCGCTAGAGTTGTGCTGGATGTGGTCTCCAGCACTGCGCCACATATTGCTCCACAATACAGATATATACAGTGCCGCGCTATATGTAGCGCGGCACTGTTCACGCAACTTAAGATTTTTTTTTTTTTTACTTTAATGTAATGTGTTTAATTTGTTATTTTATTAAATAACGTAACTTAATTCATTTAATTTGTCAATTAAAAATTTAAAAAATAAAATAAAAAATACATTTTTTATTAAAATATAGAGATACAACACAACAACAAAATATATAATTCAAAACATAATTGCATAACATAAATTAAATAACATGAAAATTATGCATAATTAATTTAAAATAACAGTTCTAGTAGTCTCCCAAACCACTACCAGATCCGTCAAGATCTTGAAAATATTCACCAAAAACATCAGAAGGGTTAACTTGTGGTGTCTGTGAAGATTGTTCTTCTCTTTTACGTAAAATTCTTTCTTGCTCCCGAGTAAAATATT